TTGTTTCTTGCATTGGTAACCAGTGGGGCATTTCATTGACCGTAGATAACATACTTTTTTTTTTTCACTAGGGATCATGAGACTTGATTATATGACCTTTTATTTTTCAGTGGTTGAAAGAGCTCTACCTTTTCAGCAAAAATCACAGGAAGCTGATGCTTTAATCCAGAATTATTAACAATGAAGCCTAGCAGACCTTTTATAGTATGGCCTTTACTGTGCTGAGTCTCCTGCTAACCTTTCCCTAATACAAAATTCCTTTAACCTCAGAGAAAGAAGGAACAGCAGCAGTGGCAAAACTGCCATCTTTACGCTACATATTTATAATTCAGAAATATATTTTTCACAATTTTAGATGGTTTACAAGTATAATCACATTACTAATTTTCTTTTGCAATAAAATTATTAACTTTAGGCAATATATCTATTTCTGAATTTGTTTATAGAAGCCATACATGCCATTTTGCTGTACAGTCAAAGTGCTGAAGAGCTGTTGAAAAGAAAGAAAGTATTTCGAGAGATAATCTTCAAGTACTTGGCAACAAAAGGAGTTATAGTACCACCTTCTTCTGAAAAACACCAGCTTGTTTATCGCGCAAAGCAGTACTGGGGTGAAGGGCTGAAAGTTTGTGCTTCAGAACAAATACATGAAAATCCTGGTATACAGGTGAGGTATATAAGTAATATTTTAGGAAATGCCAAACAATATTTTTTACAGTTATATTTAATTATTGAAACAACAATATACTATTTAAATTGTTCTGTGGATTTGCTAGGAACATATTTGTGATTTCTTTCTTTTTTATTCATTGTTAGTTCTTTCACTTTAGCTTTTTTTTTGTTATTTTTTTCCTACTGAAATGGAATTCAAAAACATTAAAAACAAAATAAAACCCTTTACTTGATACATGCTTGTTTTATTTGTTTCCAATAAATATCTTACTAAGTACAAACCAAATAGGCTGGTCTTGTAAAGTTATACGTTTTATATGTAGTCCTGAAAAGATGAAATACTTGCATTCTTTTCCTGTCTTGATATATCACCCACACATATACAGATGTTGCATTATAACACCCCATCACATGCTAGGCATTTCTGTTAGTGCAGACTAGTAAAATCAGTTGTACGCTAACA